TTTTTTTTTTTTTTTTTTTTTTTTTTTTTTTTTTTTTTAGGGCAAGAAAATTTCACCTATATTTGGGCCATTATTCCTTAAGGTGTAATGTCACAAGTATTGCATGACATTGTAAAATAAGATCACTTAAGAAGCAATATGATAAGTATTATGTTGTAGAAGTTATGAGCATATACTTATGGAAGGAATAAAAAGTCAACTATCATGGTAGTGCTTGGGGATTTGCAAGTGGGAATAAAATTTTCAGAGACAAATTTAAATTTCTGGACACAGACTCCAAAAGTGCTATATCTCAACTTGGTCATGGAAGTAACCAGAGTGCCAACAGAGTGTCATACTCATGACCACAACCATGACACCAAAGATGAATCTGAAAAGTTCAAATACAATTTTCACAAAATGAGAAAACAGGGGAAAATGTTTCTTAAAAATTATTACTTTTATATGATTTTAAATATGTATAGGCAATCATAGAATAAGTATTAGAAGTATGTATTCAAATTGAACTAAATACTTGAAAAAAATTTTCATTGGGAAATGGAAGGAGTGCTTAATATTTGGGGGTCAGTATATGGGCAGAAGAGTGAACACAGCAGGTCTGAGATTGCTTCCTCTGAAGGCTTGCTTGCAAGGTTAGCCGTTGGCTGGTATCTAAGAACTTAGATGGGAGGATATCCTGGTTCCTTATTTTTTATTCTCTGATAAGAATAGCTCATAGGCTGGGTGCAGTGGCTCACACTTGTAAGCCCAGCACTTTGGGAGGAAAAGGTAGGCGAATCATTTGAGGTCAGAAATTTGAGATCAGCCTGGCCAACATGGGGGAATCCTGTGTCTCCTAAAAATACAAAATTTTAGCTGGGCGGGGTAGCAGGTGCCTGTAATCCCAGCTACTCGGGAAGCTGAGGCAGGAAAATTGCTTGAACCCGGGAGACGGAGGTTGCAGTGAGCCAAGATCGAGGCATTGCACTCTAGCCTGGGCAACAAGAGCAAAACTCCATCTCAAAAATACAAAAAAGAATAGCTCAGGATGCCTAACTGTGCAAAAAGCATGGTTCATGCTGACCATCTGCATTCCTGTGGGGAGTCTGAAGTGGTTTTTTTTTTGTTGTTAAAGACCGTTGACACTGAGTCTCTCATGAGCTTCCCTGGTATAGATGACATTTCACATGTGGTATCATTAATTGCTGCTGGGAGAATTAAGAGTCTGTGTGTGGCTTGGGAAGGGAGTGTGGGGGTGGGATGGCAAGCTTTTGGAAGATTGTGCCTGGTTTCCTTTGCACTTTACCCCATGAGCCTTTGGCTGATCTTGCTTTCTCTCCTTTTGTTGTAATGAGTCACAGCTGTAAGTACGATTATGTGCGGAGATCTGAGTCCTTCCAGTGAATCATCAAACCTGGGAGTGGTCTTGAGGATTCTGACATACTTTATTTTTAGCCTTGCCTTGTATTTGGAGTTATACAGTATATGCTGGGGTAGGGAAGAGGAGGTTTGCTTTTAAGAGAACTGACTTATGGGAAAGTAACAGCAATGACATCAACCCTACATTGACTTTGGGAGTTCAGCTTCACTAATTTATCTAGGGCTTCCTGGTTTTCCAGTTCCAATCATCAAGGCACTTAGGCCACCCTATAGCTAAAATTTCCCTTCCCAAGGGGATTCTCCTGTTAGAAGTGTAGCATTTCTGAGAAAAAGTGAGGCATTTCTGAAAAAAAAAAAAAAAAAAATCCCTTCTTCCTGCATTTGAAGCTTGGAGTGCCCAAGCATTTTTCTATTCCACCTAAAGAGATAAAATTTCTTTGTATTAGAAAAACATAAAATAATATTGGCACAAAAGACAGCAATCTAGATGAGAGATCTACTGAGATTGAAAATAAATACCGTATAAACCATGTAGTTCATCAAGTAATCAATTTTAGTTCTTTTAAATCTGGTTTTCCCACTATTCTTCATTATTTTAGTGTCAGCACCTGAAAATGGAAAATTCAATGTGATCATCAATTGGGAAAATCAATTCACTAGCACGTCAATAAAATTACCCTTCTTGGTTGGGCATGGTGGTTCAGGCCTGTAATCCCAGCACTTTGGGAGGCTAAGGCAGGCAGATCACCTGCAGTCAGGAGCTCGAGACCAGCCTAGCCAACATGGCAAAACCCTGTCTCTACCAAAAATACAAAAATTAGCTGGGCATGGTGGCACATACCTGTAATCTCAGCTACTTGGAAGGCTGAGGCAGGAGAATCACTTAAACCCAGGAGGCAGAGGGTTCAGTGAGCTGAGATCGCGCGACTGCACTCCAGCCTGGGCTATAGAGCGAGACTCCAGCTCAAAAAAAAAAAAAAAAAAAAAAATTACTCTTCATTTGGTTTTGATGGAGAAAGAACAGAAACTCTTCTTTTGGTTTTGATGGAGAAAGTCTTTAAAGCTCATAGCAGATTAATTTCCCAAGAAACTGTGAAAGTACCTGCAAAAACGACTAAGCCATGGCAGAAATCGGTATTCCTAATCACACAGCCACGTAACAAAATTTTATCAGCATCCAAAGGAAACCTTGTTTTTCTCCAAGATAGTATTCCTGTAAACTTATCTAGTCGGTTATTGGGTTCTTCACATTCAATAAAACCTTTGAAAAATATAAGATTTACATGATTAGTCTCATATAAAAGATTTTCTGGTTTTAATCAATAGAAATTGAACCAAGCAACTAAAACTTAAAGCAAAGTACGACATGTTTCCTACAAACCATCAAATGCTGCCAATGCATCTTCTCTTTGGAGATACTGGTCTGTGATTTCAAGTGACATCTTAAACTTTAAATTTGTTTCTCTAAAGGTAAGGGAAAAAATGAATTAAATGAACAAATTTTGGAGTTCGAAATGGAAGTTAATCACCCACAGTTACATTAGCCATACCTGGACATGAAGGCTAAATAATTAGTTGTTTCTATTTTCAAACTCTGTTCACCTTGGAAATTCAGGTTTGGATAAGATTATCCCCTGAGCTAGAGAAAATTTCTGACCTTGGGAAATGTTGGCTCCATTCACAGTTGGTTGTTGTGAAGGTTAGGACAGAGGCACCCACAAACATCCTTCACATTAACTTGACCCTTTCCACCAGCTGGGACTACCAAACTGCTGTTTGAAAATGTAGCATCTAATATTTAATCACATTAAGATGATTCTATAACACATATTTGTTACAGAAATTCCGTTTCGCCTCTGTCAAATTCCTTTCCAGAGTGAGTAGCTGGATCACATGTTTTTGAAAGATAATTTTATTTGGGAAAGGAGGTGGTAGCTTTACTCCCAATTGCCTCACCATAGTGCAAGGTAAGGTCCCTGTGTGTGGGCACAAGGGCAGCCCAGGGACATGTGCTCTTGAGGGTGAGGCTCCCTTCTCATGACTGATGGCTTTATATAGGATTCACAAATACACACCCAGGAATTTCCCCAGACTAGGTAAGTTCATTCTCAACCTCACCAATCTGTTCTGACAGGGCACGTTAGGATCTTATGTCTTTGCAAAGCTTTAGAATCTCTCATGGAAATAACAGCAGTTTTGTAGTTAAGAATAAACAGTCAGGCACGGTGGCTCATGCCTGTAATCCCAGCACTTTGGGAGGCAGAGGCAGGCAGATCACTTGAGGTCAGGAGTTTGAGACCAACCTGGCCAACATGGTGAAACCCCGTCTCTACTAAAAATACAAAAATTAGCTGGGTGTGGGGGTGGACACCTGTAGTTACTCAAGAGGCTGAGGCAGGGGAATTGCTTGAACCCAGTGAGTGTGGAGGTTGCAGTGAGCTGAGATAGCACCCCTGCACTCCAGCCTGGGTGACAGAGTGAGACTCTGTCTCAAAATAAATAAGTAGTCTATTGAAAAGACTTTAAAAATCTGTTATTTTCTCTGACATAGATAATAACCTCGATATTATTTATAACTGTCTGGACACTGCTCAGCAGTTGATAAGGGGCTCAGACACACATGCTTCCATCTGATCCTTTTACCTTCCAAGAGGTGAAGACAGGCAGGTGATAAGAGCTCCACTTTACAGAAGGGGCAAAGGTGAGATCGGTAGGGACAGGCAGCAGGTGGCAGAGGCAAGGCCAGATCTCAAGCCCTCTGGTCCAGAGTGCCCCGATTTCAATGGAATGCATGTGCCTTCAAAGGCCAGCTTTAAATCAGGCCCATCGAGACACACTTACCCATCCAGTTCCGCTGTTTCCACGTAGCAGAGGCTGTTAGGCTCAGAGCTGGACAGCAGGAGAATGTCAGCCTGTCCAAAACAGAACACACGAATAACACCGAGACCTCGAGGTAGAAGACGTGTGCAGGGGCTGGGGGAGAACAAGGAACGGGAGAAGCAGAATTGGCTCACTTACTGGAACAAAGTCATTTTTCCTCAGACGAATGACATCTCCAACTTGAATGTCTTTCCACTTGGCAACTTTGAACCTAAGGATTAAAATAATGATGAATTTATTGAATTTTTAAGTTACAGGCAAGGGAATTACTATTCTTTCTGGATGTCACAGATTCTGAAAAACGTGTAAGTCACAGAGAAAATGCTACAATTTTGCTCTTTAATGATGTAAACATATCAAGTGGGAATGAAAATCGCATTGACCCCTGAAGGAAGCAGTGATGGCGGCTTTGATATCTTCTTTCCATCTAGGTCATGGAAGGAAGAGTTTATGGGGGCCACTTACATGTGTGGTAGGGAAATACCTACCACTCCCTTTTGGTTTGCCTTATGTCCAGTTCACCCCTCTTGCTGTGTTCCTTCCCAGTGACCCATCACTGCTCTGTGCTGGTCCCAGGAAAGGGGAACCCACATTATGACACGCATGTGGGCCACTCAGAGTCTTTGTGGGGCTTCAGAGCTTGCCTCTTCTCTGCTGTTTAAATTACCTTTGTTATTTATTTATTATTATTATTTTTTATTGAGACAGAGTTTCACTCTGTCTCCCAGGCTGAAGTGCAGTGACATGATCTCAGCTCACTGCAACTTCCGCCTCCCAGGGTTCAAGCCATTCTTCTGCCTCAGCCTCCTCCCAGTAGCTGGGACCACAGGCGTGTGCCACCATGCCTGGCTAATTTTTGTATTGTTAGTAGAAAGGGGATTTCACCATGCTGGACAGGCTGGTCTTGATCTCCTGACCTCAGGTGATCCACTCATCTTGGCCTCCTAAAGTGTTGGGATTACCGGTTTGAGCCACCTCACCTGGCCTGTTAACTTCTTAACTGTAAAGGCTTAATTGACAAAGACACTGCATTCCCTTTAAGGCCCCAAGGCTATACCCACATTGGATTATGGGCAGTTGCCTGATGGAGCTTTATGTTGTCCACACAACGTGTGTTTACACAACTCCTTCAGCCTCTCCAGCGGATGATCTTCAGGGCTTTGCTCATGTGTTGACATCTTTTCCAACATTCCCTTGCTAAAGTGATTTTTCCCTTCCCTGTACCATCAGAGCATTTTGTTTCTATCTTTTTTATTCTGACATGGATTTTATTAGAATGATGTGCATAGGTGTCTCATCTTCTGTCTTGAACTGTAAGTTTCTCAAGGATACTGTCCTGCCTGCAACATGTAGAAAGCAGTCCGCACGTGTTTGTTAAATTAATATAGTCAACTGTGACCAAAGCACCAGCTCAGCCAACAGTAATGAGTTGTTTTCTGAGCAAGAGCCTCCAGGCAGAACTGCAAATTCAAGCGCTAAAAATAGTGATTAAGGCCTAATTCCAAGACTTTATGTGTCAACACTGAAGAAAATAACCTGACTTACAGCCGCACTTCCACTGTGTCTAATTCAAATCTAGACTATACCAAGCTATAAATATGTTTCGATGGCTTTTTTTCCCTTGCAAATAAGGAAATTCTGTTCCAGAGTTACCTTTTAAGTGTCAAAAGACAAAATCACAACAATTTATAAAGATCTTAATTGGCTTTCGTTGCAATTCTAGCATTGGGAAACACTTCCTTCAGTAAAATGGAATAAGTGTACCAGTGAACCTAGCAGAAGAGGTTGTTGTTGTTAAGATGAGGGTCTCGCTAAGTTGGACAGGCTGGTTTCAAACTCCTGGCCTCAAGTGATCCTCCTGCCTCGACCTCCCAAAGTGCTGGGATTACAGGTGTGAGCTACCATGCCTGACCAGCCCATATGTTTAGCCTGCACCATAGCTGCCCACGTTGGTAAAGAGGAACTCTGGGTTGCCCTGAATTTGGAAGTCTAGGGCGCATATCTGGCAGGGTCATGGCCCAAGCATCCCCTGCAGTGGGGTCACACCTATAAGAACTTGAGCATCAGCAGGGCAGAGCACAGGAGGTGTCCTCAGAGGAAACTGGAACATCTGATAGAAGAATCTAACAGAATTGCCTCCCAGTAGCCCTGCCAAAGAGATGCTAGCATATCCATTTGTCATTTCAGACTTACATGCAAATTTCTAATTTACAATTTCAGAAATATTGAAATGTAAAATAAAATTTCATTTATTGAAAGATAAGCCAAATTTTTTTTTTTTTTAATCCTGGAGTTAAGAACTGTGTACTAAATTCTTGTAACGTTAGGGGAACTGGGGCATAAACATATATTTAAAATGTATTTTAAATCTCCAGGTCATTTTTGGCCATAAATGAATGGGAGATAAACATATAGTGATTAGATGTCTGCCTCCAAAGAAATTAAGTTTATTATTATGGTAGGTTCATTATGTCCGCTGGGTGTATCTTTTGTACATGTGAAAATCTTTAAAACAATATTATAGTTTGAAACTTTTAAAAGTGTTGATATGTTAAAAATTTTAATGAATATTTCCTATAAAATTTAGTACCCCAAATTGTCATCCCTTTATCTATTTTTCTCATTATCCTTAATAGATTTATTACAACAGGGGCACATATTCAATAAAAAGATAATTTAAGGCCAGGCATTGTGGCTCACACCTGTAATCCCAGCACTTTTGGAGGTTGAGGCAGGCGGATCACTTGAAGTCAGGAGTTCGAGACCAGTCTGGGAAACATGGTGACACCCCGTCTCCATGAAAAGTACAAAAAATGAGCCAAGTGTGGTGGTGCACGCCTGTAATCCCAGCTACTTGAGAGGCTGAGGCAGGAAAATCGCTTGAACCTGGGAGGCGGACGTTGCAGTGAGCCATCATGCCACTGTACTCCAGCCTGGGCGACAGAGCGAAACTCTGTCTCCAAAAATAAGAAAAAAAAAAAAAAGTTAATGTACTAATAGCCTTCTCCATTCTAATAATGATCTCTGAATATGTTTCTAGACAGAGTTAAGCATTACATCCTTGTAAATCAGTTACTAATTAAAGAAGACACAGTACCTGCCATCCTTAATGACTTCACACGTCCTATTGTTGATTTCCCTATCCATTTTATGGCGAGCCTTGAGAAGAAAGATGGGGAAATGCTGTTTTAAACATCTCAATGCGGAAGGAAAGAATGCCAAAGTCAATTAAACTCAAAGCAATGAGTAGAACGTTGTATGAGAACTCCTCACCACATCGTCCACCAGGTCTTTGATTGCAGTAATGCCCAGCACCAGAAGCAGGGGGAATAGTGTGGTGTACCACGCCAGGGTAGAGATTTGAGGAATTGCCTGAAAAAAAAAAAGGGCTTATGTGTGTGCCCATGAAGGCATATCACGCTGATTCCTAATTCTAAGCTTGCTAATTCTGTGTCGTCTCCGTCATCACACAAGTCTACATCCTGCAGAGTGTGGAGGAAAAGCTCTTCAAGCACCTGGACAACCTCCTTCTAGTGGTTCTCTCTAGCTTCTGGACATCTGGAACAAAGTCTAGAAGGCAGTGGCTCCTGAAATTATCTCATTGTGACCTTAAGTGGTCACCAAGGAGGCTTTGTATCATGATACATAAAAGAGAATTGCTGTAAATTTTTTGTGAAAATTATATTTAACTGGAGGTGGGAAAGTAGGACTGGCAAGGGGGAAGTTGCTTTAACTTTTTTTTTTTTTTTTTGAAAAGGAAGTCTCATCCTGTCACCCAGGCTGGAATGCAGTGGCACAATCTTGGCTCACTGTAACCTCTGTCTCCCAGGTTCACTTGATTCTCCTGCCTCAGCCTCCTGAGTAGCTGGGATTACAGGTGTGTGCCACCATGCCTGGCTAATTTTTGTATTTTTAGTAGAGACAAGATTTCACCATGTTGGTCATGCTGGTCTTGAACTTCTGACTTTGTGATCCACCCGCCTCAGCCTGCCAAAGTGCTAAGATTACAGGCGTGAGCCACTGCGCCTGCCTTTTATTTATTTATTTTTTTGAGACCAAATCTCCCTCTGTCATCCAGGCTGGAATGCATTGCACAGTCTTGGCTCACTGCAACCTCTGTCTCCCATGTTCAAGTGATTCTCCTGCCTTAGCCTCCCGAGTAGCTGGGATTACAGGTGTGTGCCACCATGCCCAGCTAATGTTTTTTTGTATTTTTAGTAGAGATAGGATTTCTCTATGTTCGAGACCATGTTGGCCAGGCTGGTCTCGAACTCCTGACCTGAGGTGATCTGCCTGCCTCAGCCTCCCAAAGTGCTGGGATTACAGGTGTGAGCCACCACACCTGGCCAAAGTCATCTTAACTTTTAAGGAATGCATGCATAATAGGCTCTACATTGCAGGTTTCTCAGCCAGTGGTTTCTGAGGATCCCATGTTGGAGGCAAAGATGGCAGGAGGTACTAGCTGCCTCTGAAAGCAAGTGAACAGGGAGAGCATCTCTGAGGGCATTAGAAGAAAGTGTGTCCTTCATGGTTATCGCTATTGGCCCAGCCAAGAAAGTGAGTTGGCCTTGCAGGATGCCCTGTCTCCATCAAGACAGCCTCCAAATTTAAATAAAAGTTTGGGATGCAAGTTTAATAAAGTTATCTTGTAACCATCCTCCTGATCACGGAGCCATATAATGTAGTGGTTAAAATGACAGGCTTTGGAGTCAACTCCTAGATCCAAGTCTTGGTCAGCTCTACCATTTATGGCTTGTGGGACTTTGAGCAAGTTACTGTAGCTCACTAGTCCTCAGCTCTTCTCTGCAAAATGGAGGTCCTGCCGGTCCTGACCTTATAGACTAGAAGAATTAAGTGTAGTGACAGCGCAAGTGAAGAAGCTGCCTAAGGCTATTGCTGTTACCCTAATTTGGATTGCTGACCTTAAGAGAAGATAACTAGGCTGCAGCTGGAAGACAGAAAGATTCTTCTTCCCATATACAGTGAGTATGTAAAATCTCCTCTTCCCTGCTAGAAGGAAGGGAAAATAGCCTACTTCCTACAGAGCGGCGCCTTAGACTTTGCAGTGCTAACCTCTACACACACCTGTCTAAGCATCCCCCTTGATAACAGGGCATGCTTTGCTATCTGACTTGCAGGTCTATGGTTTCCTAAATCTATTGAGTATCTATTTCTCTTTAGCATTGTCTCTTCTTTTTCTCTCCTCTCCACTCATCCTCCCATCCCCACCTAGACACACATTCTACCCCATTTTCATAAAACCTTAGAGGGTCAATCCCAGCAGGTGAAACTTTTCCAAATTCAATGCTTGCTGTAAAGAATCTGATAAAGTGCCGGGAGCTGTGGCTCACACCTGTAATCTTAGCACTTTGGGAGGCTAAGGCGGGTGGATCATCTGAAGTTAGGAGTTTGAGACCAGCCTGGTCAACATGGTGAAACTCTGTCTCTACTAAAAATACAAAAAGTAGCTGGGTATGGTGGCGGGCAACTGTGATCCCAGCTACGTGGAAGACTGAGGCAGGAGAATCTCTTGAGTCCGGGAGGCAGAGGTTGCAGTGAGCCGAGATCGCACCATTGCACTTCAGCCTGGGTGAAAAGAGCAAAACTCCACCTCAAAAAAAAAAAAAAAAAAAAAAAAAAAAACCCCTTCCATCCTTTAAAGGTATAATTCTACTTCTGGGAATGTATTACACTAAGCCACTAATTGAATAGAAACAAATAAAAGCAAAATGTTATTAAAGGCATGATTTAATCCATTATTATATATTAATTCTACACATTCTTATGCAACCATCAAAAAGTGTAATTATGAAAACCTGACAGACTATTAAGTGAAAATGGAAAAATATACAATAGAGCAGATATTGTAACAATACTGTAATACATTTGTTCATTCATTGAAATGTTTATTGAGTACTGCATGGAGTTTACACTCGAATGGGGATGACAGACAATAAGCATTATGAGTAAGTAAAATGTATTGTACAGTCATATGAAAGAAAGTGGGATGGAGAAAAATGAACAGGCAAGGGAGATAAGGAGTATGTATTCCACTATTCAAATTAAGATGGCCAGGTAAGGCCGCCTTGAGAATGAAGTTTTGAGTAAAAACTTGGAAGATGTGAGATATTCATAAGAAAGATAAAAAGAAAATGAAAGTTTATGATGGGCTTATCTGTTTTTTACATTTATGTAAAATTTTATAATATTTCTTAAATACTATTATCTTGCTTTACAATGTGGAGTGTGTGTGTTTTGGTTTTGAGATAGGGTCTTGCTACCCAGTCCGGTCTTAAACTATTGGGCTCAAGCAATCCTCCTGCCTCAGTCTCCTGAGTAGCTGGGATTACAGGCACATACCACTGTCCCCAGCTTGTTTTGAAAATTATTACAAAAAAAATTAATAAACACTCCAAAGTTGTGCTAAAAGAGAAATAAGTAAATGAACAAAGAGAACCTCAACTAGACCTCTGCTATCCACCCCATGAAACAGATTCTTGTCCCAGTTTCAACACTACGGCTTCTCTAATCTTATTTTTTTTTTTTTTTCCATTTGTTTTATTGCTTTTTAGGTTTTGGGGTACATGTGAAGAACATGCAAAATTGTTGCATAGGTACACACGTGGCAGTGTGATTTGCTGCCTTCCTCCCCATCACCTACATC